GAANAATATTACACCTATCCCTGCTCCCTTGCGTACAAGGACCCATCAACATGAAGGTTTCAAACGCGTCGTCAAAAACTATCACCTCTTGTGGGGGCTCGGACGCAGAGAACTCAGTAATAAAATCGACAAGGACCTACCCCTTAACTGAAGTACGGGATTTGTACCTTATTTCGAACTCCCCGAGTTCCACAGNAGTATTACACTTATCCCTGCTCCCTTGCGTACAAGGACCCATCAACATGAAGGTTCCAAACGCGTCGTCAAAAATATCACCTCTTGTGGGGGCTCGGACGCAGAGAACTCAGTAATAAAATCGGCAAGGACCTGCCCCTTAACTGAAGTACGGGATTTGTACCTTATTTCGAACTCCCCGAGTTCCACAGCCCACTTGGCAACCCTTCCTGACATGTCGACTTTATGAAGGATGGGCTTGAGAGATCGATCGGTTAAGACTTCAATGGGGTGTGCCTGAAAATAGTTTCTGAGTTTCCTCGTCGAGACTACCAACGCTAGAATGAGCTTCTCAATCGATAAGAATCGTGTTTCGGCGTCAAGCAAGGTTTTGCTTACGAAGTAGACGGGTCTTTGTGCCCACTCCTCACTCTCCCTTACCAAGGCTTCACTAACAGCCCCTTCTGAGAAAGACAAGTAGAGGTTGAGTACTTTCCTCGCCATTGGGACAGACAGAGTTGGAGGACACTTCAGGTACTCCTTAATCCCATTAAGTGCTTGACCACAATCCCTATCCCAAATTCCCTTTACCGCGCTCTTAAGCATGATGAAAAATGGTTTGCACCTATCTGAGGACTTGGAGATGAAACGGTTGAGGGCTGTTAGCATTTTGATTAACTTTTGGATGTCTTCGGTGCCTGGATGTTCTGTACTATCTGTACTTGCTCGGGGTTGGCCTCAATGCCCCTATGGGTGACTACGTACCCCAAGAACTTGCTCGAGTTTACTCTAAAAGCACACGTCAAGGTATTATGCTTCAGACCGTAGCTTTGGAGTATGGCGAACGTGGTCCCAAGGTCCCGGACGAGATCGGAACCCTTCCTGCTTTTCACTAGTATATCATCAATATAAACCTCCATGGTTACACCGAGTTGCTGCTTAAAATTCTTGTTCATCAAGTGCTAATAAATAGCTCTAGTATTCTTCAACCCAAACAACATTACCATGTAGCAATAGATTCCTCGGGGTGTAATTCACGTTGTTTTCTCCTGATTTGATTTATGCAAGGGAATTTGGTGATAACCTGTCCGAGTATCCATGAAAGAGATATGTTTGTGACCTGCGGTCGCATATACAAGCCGATCAACCTTCGACAATGAATACTCGTCCTTGGGGCACATTTTATTCAGGTCCGTGAAATCCACGCAAACTCGTCATTTCCCTTCCTTCTTTTTAGCGCATACCGTATTGGATAACCATTGGGGGAACTACACCTCTTTAATGGAGCTCGCCCCTAACAATCTATCCACCTCTGTATCTGCGGCTTTCGCGTGATGAGGCACCGTTCTCCGTGCTTTTTGTCTCACGGGTTTAAAGGACGGGTCCACATGAAGTCGATGAGTCATTACCTCTAGACTGATTCATGTCATCTCGGCTTGTGTCCACGCAAAGACATCGGCGTTTTGGGACAAGAACCCTATCATGTCAGACTTCTTGGCACCGTCCAGTGATGCCCCTATCAAAAAGTATCTCTCCTCGTTCTCCGATTCAGAAAGACTTTGACCAGGGCCTCAGTGGAACGATCGGTTGGTTTCGTAATGGGATCGTCCACACTAGATCGATCGAACTATGATTGTTATTTGGCCACCATCGCCTCGGGATCACACTCCTGAGCTCGACCACTAACCCCAGTCTTTATTACGACGTAGAAGCAGCTTTTGGATGATGCCTGATCGCCTCAAATCTCGATGACACCCCTTGGAGTGGGAAATTTTATCTTTTGATGGTAAGATGAATGCACCGCCTTCATTACGTGTAGCCACGTCCTATCCATGATGGCATTATACTACGAATCGGAGTCTATCATTACGAATTCCACAGGGACGATAATAGATCCGGCAATAACCGTTAGAGTAATTTTTTTGAGGGGAAGGACACAAGAACCGTTGAAGCCTATGAGGGAGGTACTTACTGGTTTCAAGTCCTTTTGAGCGAACCCCATCTTGCAAAAGAGATTGTCATACATTATCTCGAATGAGCTACCCGAGTCAACCAAGATCCTCTTGACATCAAATTTGTCGACTCTAAGGGTGATTACCAAGGCGTCGTCATGCGGGAGCACTAACCCACTAAGGTTGGCATCGGAGAAGTGGATGACCTCGACTTCAGGCCGAGGCCTCTTGGACGACTGCTCCTCACACCTGTTTTCCTCCACTTTCATTGCTTGCGAGACCCTCTAGAGGTCGGCCCAGAGGGAATTATACGTTGGTCTCTCAACCGTGCAAGCGTGAATTACTTCAATCACGATCGTTGCTTTCTGAGACGTGTCGACTCCTCCTGCGGAGCCTCCAACGGGTGTCCTTTCAATGAACTCCCTGAAATGCCCATCTTGGACCAGCTGCTCGAGGAAAGACTTGTGCACCCTACAATTTTCAGTTAAATGCCCCATATCTCTATGATAAGAATACCAAGAAGTTGAATCCCTCAACGATGGGTCCCTTTATATCTTCAGCGACCACTTAAAGAATTGTTTCTCCTTTATCTTGTGAAGCATCTTATAAATGGGTTCCTTAAAAATCGTGTTCAACCCTTAATAGGACAAACGATTTGGAGGCGGGATGGATGCCCCTTTCCTCGCAGGTGGTTTCCCCTCTCTTTTCCTCGGCACTGTGGCCCTATTCTCGGGCGTCATGGACTCTTCCTCCACCCTGGCGTACTTGTTTATTTGAGCCATCAAGTCCTTCATATCTCACAAGGCTCTCTTAGTAAGAGACCTGTAGAGGTCGGTGTTTCGGGACAATCCCAGCCAAAAACGTTGCTATAGCCATTGCTTCCGAGCAGGCCTTGACCTCATTAACTTCCTCCTAGTACTTGATTGCGAACTGTCGAAAGGACTCTCCCCCTCTTCGTTTGAGTGTCAATAAAACGCCGATGTCTTTTGGCCTTTTACTATTTGTGATGAATCGAGCTACGAAGAGCTCGGTCATTTGCTTCCAAGACTTGATGCTCTCTGGGGCCAAGTTCTCATACCACTTCATCGTAGTTTCTCCCAAGCTCATGGGGAAAACTTGGCATAGTAGTCTTTAATCAGTGTCATATATGGACATCAGCTGCTTGTTTTTGTCGCAGGTGGCCCTCGAGATCTGTTCTTTCATCATAAATCTTGAATCAGTGGACGGTGAACTTCTTTGGTATTTCAGTCTCCCAGATTGCCTATACAAATGGGGAGACGATTTGTTCCTCGTTTTCATCGCCCTCGAGGTTGGGTCTCCGGCACTTGGCATCCAAGCGCGTTCGAAAGTCCTCTCGGGACCTTACTTTTCTAGGCTCCCTCACAGTGGACTCCGTATGAGACTCAGTTATTGCGACACCTCCTGACAATCCATGGTGGAGGTCCCACCGGGACAGGCCTGTCCTATGGTGATCCCACTCTGACTTTTCCTCAGGAGCAGGCCTTTCCCAGCCGCCTGGGTTGCGCTCATCAGCCGTGTGCATGCGCAAGCTCCTCTCGAGGGCACCTAGTCTCGCGGCCATGGAATCACCTCGGCTGGACCTTCGGTCTTCACGGTTGCTGCTTTGCCAACTGGCACTCCCCGATTGTTCGAAATCATTGAGCTGATCATGTACCCTCGCATTATCTTTCTCCAGTTGCTTAAGGCGGTTTTCCATCCGCTTTTCCACTAGCTCCACGATTTCACAAGCTAAAAGACCTTGCCCCTCGAGGCCTTGATCCACGAGGAATGTTCACTGTGATGCATGCTCGCCTCCTTCAAGCTGGCTCAAGGAGCCTAATTCTATGATCGTTGGGAGCCGGGTAGCTCACGCGTAGGCCTCCCTCCCATCATCTTGGGATCGTGTGTTCACCATGAAGCAATCGTTATGTGGAAAGCTCGTATGTTTCCCACAAACGGCTCCAAATTGTACGGGAGAATTCTTGCAATGAATACGGATAGCGATCCTCTCGACGATGAACCTGAAATAACCAAGAGGTCAGAAAAGGGGGTCAGGTGAACACCCTGTTTATCTCCTCCAAAGCTTAAGTTAATAGAAGTTTGGAAGCTTGAGCATTGTATTTTTCTTCTCTCAGTTAGTTTGCGTACCTTTTTTTATTTTTCTGAGGAATATTTATCTGGATTAGTAATGAGTGCAAGGGCATGAAGTCTCATCTCGACATTTAATGATTTGCACTCTTATCCATGCGTAATGACTGTTCTCCACTTAGATTCTCGTGACTAGACTACTCGGGGGATAAGATGACTGCTCGGGACATGTCGAGCATTTATGACCCCATCTCCGGTCATTTAAGTCTTGACACATTTTCTTGAGTGTTCATTGCTCGGGGAATAGTATCTCGGGGTACATCGAGAAGATATGTTTGGTGCAATAGTCATTAATGATTTGCAATCGTGACTGTCAGTTTGGGTCTCGAGGATGCAGGGGCTCATTAATAGCTCTATCATATTAACTCATGTCTCCATTAATGAGTTGTCAAGTCGTCTTAAATACTGGTATCAGTATGGGCACTCGGCTCCTCCGAGCTATTATTCCTCGGCGGCACCTCTCGGCTCTTTTTGAGTTCTATAATGGCTACATCTTTCCACGTGTCGATCTGGGGGTTGTTGAGCTGCTTAAAGTCCCGTCAAAAGTGTAGTTTTTTTTTTAATTTTTAGAGAAAATATATTTTTATTCTCTTAAAAATTATTTTTTTGTGGCAAAACATATCTCGCCGTAGTGATAAGATTATTCCATCATGACATAAAAGTCAAAAATTTGAGTTGTAGAAACAATCTTCGCACATGCGTGATAATGATGTGTATTTGACTTCTCTAGATCTTGTAATAATATGTGGGGATTAAAAGCATATACCTAATAGCTATCTTCTTGCGATCATCAACGAGCAAATAGGTTGATTTGTCTAAGTAAGCCACGGAGAACGTTAGAATTATATCAATGGCGAAGAAGGCATCAACGACCAAATCAACGGGCAAGAGTGATCCGGTGGCCACTTTTCTGAATGCTAGCTCGAAAGGAGATGACCATGCAGAGTATACAACCAGTACCACAAGAAAGGTTTGCCACCACCTGCATAAACATGAGTGAAAAAAACTTAATTGTGGGTGGTTGGTGCATAATAAGAGCAGTAATTTTAGACACTGGTGTATTAAAACAACACGAATTTGACACGTAAAGTGTGAACTAAAAGTTGACTAATTATCGATATTAACCTGAAAAATGACATGATTTGTTAACCTGAAGAATGAACAAATTGGGTAAGTGTCTAGTGGTTTTCACTTCCTCATTAGGTATAGCACTAATGCTTATAGAATTATATGAATTTTTACTTTGTTTTGTTACTATAAAGACCAAGTGAATTTTTAGATTATTTTGAGTTGTGGGTTATGGGTGGAAAGAGAAAGGAGTTTTAGTCTTTGATTCTAATTCAAGGTTTATTTATTTGATTGTGTTAACCTAAACACAACACAATTAATGAATATGATACATTAGTATCGAAACACTTGTTACCATCAAATAATTTAATTGGATGTGTTGATTGATGTTTGATAAGAGTTCAANGATACATTAGTATCGAAACACTTATTACCATCAAATAATTTAATTGGATGTGTTGATTGATGTTTGATAAGAGTTCAAAATGATACAGTTTGAACACGATACGATACGATTTAATTGTCAACTTTAATCAGAGAAAACTGTGGAGAAAGAGAGGAGTTGTGGAAAGATTTAATTGTTATTTTTTTATTGACAAGTTTTCATTGAACTTTTAATAAGTGGATATTAGAAAATTACCACTTTCTTCCATTGTGACTTCTTAGGTAAGTTTATGGGCAAAATACACTTTTAGGGCCTAAAATATACGTGTAATGTTTATTTGGTCATCAATATTTTAATTGTATCTATTAGTTTTTAAGGTTCTTGATTTGTATCTATGTGGTCTAATTCCAAATATCTGTAAAAAAATCGTTAATTTTGCTAATCACGCACAAATCACGTGAGACCAAATAGATAAAAATTAAGAATTTTAGATACTAAATAGACATAAAATTATAAATCACGTGATTGATACGTGATTAGAATTGTCACGATTTTCAAACAGACATTTGAAATTGGACCACGTAGATATAAATTAGGAACTTTAGGAATCAAATAAATATAATTAAAATATTAAAAATCAAATAGACACTAAACATATATTTTGAGCATTAAAAATATATTTTACCTAAGTTGAGAAAGTGAAACAGCTGAAAAGGCAAAGTCAAGCAATTAAACCTTGAAGAATGATTGGGTAGTAGTGGCTGTAGGAGCCAAACCTGACCAGGGGTTGTTTCGTGAGTAGGTGTGTGTTTGGTGGGTCTGGGTCAAACTTCTTTGGTTTACTATTCCGACCCAACTTCGTGGAAATGCGTATAACCTAAAGTCCTATGACTCTATGACTTTATTAGACCTAGGTCCTATGGACAAATAGCCTTAGAAGCTTTTGGCACTACCACCATATTAATAATGACATCTTTTAATAATGCGATCAATAATGTTCAATTAGTCAACTAATTTTATTGAAGGCAATATGATTAATTTAGCATAGGCTTCTTCCAAATAGATATAGGATTATCCCTATTGATTATCTCTTCAAATCTTGTACACCGGGTATATCCGTAAAAAATAATAAAACAAAAAATATATATCTCCATATAATACATCCAAAGACTTATGCCAAAATCTATATTCTAAAAATACAAAAAACTAAACAAGAAAAAAAAAAGGGGGAGGAGGATTATTTTTTACAAGATGAATTTCTCTAAAATAAAATTAAATTAAATTGCCCATTAAAAAAAAGAGGAAAGGTGTTTTTTTTTTTTGGACAAGAGGAACTTCTCTAAAGAATCACACGAAATTATACTTGTAAGTTTTTGACAAACGGTTAAGTTTACAATTCGTTCTGAATGTGTGGGTTGAGTTAGAAAGATTAACACCGCTAGAGACATAGTTTCAGTAATTTTCTTTGTAATTCGGACCTAATACATGTATGGATAGATATATACACACACAATACACATATAAAGGAAAAATTGGTGAAAGTAAGAAAGATTACCGATATCTACGGTCATAGGGTGCGATTACATATCTCTTAAGTTGCAGAGTTCCTTCACCCACGACAGTTCCGAACGCCGGCAAGAGACTGCTGGAAACTGAGGCTAAGTTCCTGATTTCACCACTTGAATGCCTTCGGTACAAGAATGGCATCGGCGACCTTGTTCCTGACGACATACTGGCCTCGCCCACAAGCAGAGAGAGAGAGAGAGAGAGAGAGAGAGAGAGAGAGAGAGAGAGTTGTTGTTTGCAAATTTTTATATAATAGTTTGAGCATATATAGGGAAGGTAACATAGACGTTTCCTAATATCATATTAAGTTAGTAAATAATGATATTTTGACGTAAAGATAATATAGTTTTATAGGAGTGTTTTTGACTTATTAATTGATACTGACAAATTGCAAACTGTTCTTTGGTCCCCTTGTTTGGTATTCAAAATTAGCAGTTACAGACTCACAGTCCCCAAAAGTCAGAACCTATTTTTGTACTTTTTCGTAAGGGCAAAAATCATATCTAAGTACTTGACGTTTATGTCTAGTTTTAATTTGACTTTTAAAATTTTTAATTATCTTAATTTAGTCTCTTAAATTTAATTTTTAATTTAATTAATTTTTTTTAAATCAAATTTTGAGCTAATCTCTAGTTAATCTAATGGTGAAAATTGATGAAATAATTTAATTAAGATGAAATCGATTAGTTGAAGGACTAAATTATAGCAATTAAAAGTTCAGAGATCAAGTTAGAATTAAAGATAAAATTCAAGGACCAACTAAAATTTGTATTCTTTTTTTAGTAAGTATAGTCTTTTCGAGCCCTCTTTGAACCCTTGGTCGATTGGACTTTGGGGAATAACATTAGTGACACACTCTAGTACTCTACTACTTTAAAAACTCTACCAGACGTAGACAAAAAGTTTAATTGATACCAAAAAAAAAAAAAAAAAAGTTTTAGAGACTTAAAAGAATATGAGAAAGAGTGAAGATAAAATAATGATAGAAAAATGAGATGTAAAGAATAATGTGATTCGACACATAGTGCTTCGCGGACCTAATGTGTCCATCAGGGTTATATTAGACTGAATTGTTTTGTCTAATTTANTCGCGGACCTAATGTGTCCATCAGGGTTATATTAGATTGAATTGTTTTATCTAATTTATTTATTTTTAATACGGTAATTAAATGAGCCCTATAAATTATATTTGATGCATTATTAAAGGCAATTGATTACATAACGTTTAACCCTATTTATAGTGTGAGAATTATACAGGATAAAAGATAAATCACATATGTTTATCATCATATTTACTTATCTAAACAAATTTATATATTGATAATTGTTTTTCGATTCTATTATATCTTTACTTGTATATTGATATACTAGTTATAACTTGTGTCGAAAGGTACGATGAAATATAAAATTCGAGCNAGCTCAAGGAGCCTAATTCTATGATCGTTGGGAGCCGGGTAGCTCACGCGTAGGCCTCCCTCCCATCATCTTGGGATCGTGTGTTCACCATGAAGCAATCGTTATGTGGAAAGCTCGTATGTTTCCCACAAACGGCTCCAAATTGTACGGGAGAATTCTTGCAATGAATACGGATAGCGATCCTCTCGACGATGAACCTGAAATAACCAAGAGGTCAGAAAAGGGGGTCAGGTGAACACCCTGTTTATCTCCTCCAAAGCTTAAGTTAATAGAAGTTTGGAAGCTTGAGCATTGTATTTTTCTTCTCTCAGTTAGTTTGCGTACCTTTTTTATTTTTCTGAGGAATATTTATCTGGATCAGTAATGAGTGCAAGGGCATGAAGTCTCATCTCGACATTTAATGATTTGCACTCTTATCCATGCGTAATGACTGTTCTCCACTTAGATTCTCGTGACTAGACTACTCGGGGGATAAGATGACTGCTCGGGACATGTCGAGCATTTATGACCCCATCTCCGGTCATTTAAGTCTTGACACATTTTCTTGAGTGTTCATTGCTCGGGGAATANGGACATGTCGAGCATTTATGACCCCATCTCCGGTCATTTAAGTCTTGACACATTTTCTTGAGTGTTCATTGCTCGGGGAATAAAATCTCGGGGTACATCGAGAAGATATGCTTGGTGCAATAGTCATTAATGATTTGCAATCGTGACTGTCAGTTTGGGTCTCGAGGATGCAGGGGCTCATTAATAGCTCTATCATATTAACTCATGTCTCCATTAATGAGTTGTCAAGTCGTCTTAAATACTGGTGTCAGTATGGGCACTCGGCTCCTCCGAGCTATTATTCCTCGGCAGCACCTCTCGGCTCTTTTTGAGTTCTATAATGGCTACATCTTTCCACGTGTCGATCTGGGGGTTGTTGAACTGCTTAAAGTCCCGTCAAAAGTGTAGGTTTTTTTTAATTTTTAGAGAAAATATATTTTTATTCTCTTAAAAATTATTTTTTTGTGGCAAAACATATCTCGCCGTAGTGATAAGATTATTCCATCATGACATAAAAGTCAAAAATTTGAGTTGTAGAAACAATCTTCGCACATGCGTGATAATGATGTGTATTTGACTTCTCTAGATCTTGTAATAATATGTGGGGATTAAAAGCATATACCTAATAGCTATCTTCTTGCGATCATCAACGAGCAAATAGGTTGATTTGTCTAAGTAAGCCACGGAGAACGTTAGAATTATATCAATGGCGAAGAAGGCATCAACGACCAAATCAACGGGCAAGAGTGATCCGGTGGCCACTTTTCTGAATGCTAGCTCGAAAGGAGATGACCATGCAGAGTATACAACCAGTACCACAAGAAAGGTTTGCCACCACCTGCATAAACATGAGTGAAAAAAACTTAATTGTGGGTGGTTGGTGCATAATAAGAGCAGTAATTTTAGACACTGGTGTATTAAAACAACACGCATTTGACACGAAAAGTGTGAACTANTATCAGTATGGGCACTCGGCTCCTCCGAGCTATTATTCCTCGGCGGCACCTCTCGGCTCTTTTTGAGTTCTATAATGGCTACATCTTTCCACGTGTCGATCTGGGGGTTGTTGAGCTGCTTAAAGTCCCGTCAAAAGTGTAGTTTTTTTTTTAATTTTTAGAGAAAATATATTTTTATTCTCTTAAAAATTATTTTTTTGTGGCAAAACATATCTCGCCGTAGTGATAAGATTATTCCATCATGACATAAAAGTCAAAAGTTTGAGTTGTAGAAACAATCTTCGCACATGCGTGATAATGATGTGTATTTGACTTCTCTAGATCTTGTAATAATATGTGGGGATTAAAAGCATATACCTAATAGCTATCTTCTTGCGATCATCAACGAGCAAATAGGTTGATTTGTCTAAGTAAGCCACGGAGAACGTTAGAATTATATCAATGGCGAAGAAGGCATCAACGACCAAATCAACGGGCAAGAGTGATCCGGTGGCCACTTTTCTGAATGCTAGCTCGAAAGGAGATGACCATGCAGAGTATACAACCAGTACCACAAGAAAGGTTTGCCACCACCTGCATAAACATGAGTGAAAAAAACTTAATTGTGGGTGGTTGGTGCATAATAAGAGCAGTAATTTTAGACACTGGTGTATTAAAACAACACGCATTTGACACGAAAAGTGTGAACTAAAAGTTGACTAATTATCGATATTAACCTGAAAAATGACATGATTTGTTAACATGAAGAATGAACAAATTGGGTAAGTGTCTAGTGGTTTTCACTTCCTCATTAGGTATAGCACTAATGCTTATAGAATTATATGAATTTTTACTTTGTTTTGTTACTATAAAGACCAAGTGAATTTTTAGATTATTTTGAGTTGTGGGTTATGGGTGGAAAGAGAAAGGAGTTTTAGTCTTTGATTCTAATTCAAGGTTTATTTATTTGATTGTGTTAACCTAAACACAACACAATTAATGAATATGATACATTAGTATCGAAACACTTATTACCATCAAATAATTTAATTGGATGTGTTGATTGATGTTTGATAAGAGTTCAAAATGATACAGTTTGAACACGATACGATACGATTTAATTGTCAACTTTAATCAGAGAAAACTGTGGAGAAAGAGAGGAGTTGTGGAAAGATTTAATTGTTATTTTTTTATTGACAAGTTTTCATTGAACTTTTAATAAGTGGATATTAGAAAATTACCACTTTCTTCCATTGTGACTTCTTAGGTAAGTTTATGGGCAAAATACACTTTTAGGGCCTAAAATATACGTGTAATGTTTATTTGGTCATCAATATTTTAATTGTATCTATTAGTTTTTAAGGTTCTTGATTTGTATCTATGTGGTCTAATTCCAAATATCTGTAAAAAAATCGTTAATTTTGCTAATCACGCACAAATCACGTGAGACCAAATAGATAAAAATTAAGAATTTTAGATACTAAATAGACATAAAATTATAAATCACGTGATTGATACGTGATTAGAATTGTCACGATTTTCAAACAGACATTTGAAATTGGACCACGTAGATATAAATTAGGAACTTTAGGAATCAAATAAATATAATTAAAATATTAAAAATCAAATAGACACTAAACATATATTTTGAGCATTAAAAATATATTTTACCTAAGTTGAGAAAGTGAAACAGCTGAAAAGGCAAAGTCAAGCAATTAAACCTTGAAGAATGATTGGGTAGTAGTGGCTGTAGGAGCCAAACCTGACCAGGGGTTGTTTCGTGAGTAGGTGTGTGTTTGGTGGGTCTGGGTCAAACTTCTTTGGTTTACTATTCCGACCCAACTTCGTGGAAATGCGTATAACCTAAAGTCCTATGGCTCTATGACTTTATTAGACCTAGGTCCTATGGACACATAGCCTTAGAAGCTGTTGGCACTACCACCATATTAATAATGACATCTTTTAATAATGCGATCAATAATGTTCAATTAGTCAACTAATTTTATTGAAGGCAATATGATTAATTTAGCATAGGCTTCTTCCAAATAGATATAGGATTATCCCTATTGATTATCTCTTCAAATCTTGTACACCGGGTATATCCGTAAAAAATAATAAAACAAAAAATATATATCTCCATATAATACATCCAAAGACTTATGCCAAAATCTATATTCTAAAAATACAAAAAACTAAACAAGAAAAAAAAAAGGGGGAGGAGGATTATTTTTTACAAGATGAATTTCTCTAAAATAAAATTAAATTAAATTGCCCATTAAAAAAAAGAGGAAAGGTGTTTTTTTTTTTTGGACAAGAGGAACTTCTCTAAAGAATCACACGAAATTATACTTGTAAGTTTTTGACAAACGGTTAAGTTTACAATTCGTTCTGAATGTGTGGGTTGAGTTAGAAAGATTAACACCGCTAGAGACATAGTTTCAGTAATTTTCTTTGTAATTCGGACCTAATACATGTATGGATAGATATATACACACACAATACACATATAAAGGAAAAATTGGTGAAAGTTAGAAAGATTACCGATATCTACGGTCATAGGGTGCGATTACATATCTCTTAAGTTGCAGAGTTCCTTCACCCACGACAGTTCCGAACGCCGGCAAGAGACTGCTGGAAACTGAGGCTAAGTTCCTGATTTCACCACTTGAATGCCTTCGGTACAAGAATGGCATCGGCGACCTTGTTCCTGACGACATACTGGCCTCGCCCACAAGCAGAGAGAGAGAGAGAGAGAGAGAGAGAGAGAGAGAGAGAGAGAGTTGTTGTTTGCAAATTTTTATATAATAGTTTGAGCATATATAGGGAAGGTAACATAGACGTTTCCTAATATCATATTAAGTAAGTAAATAATGATATTTTGACGTAAAGATAATATAGTTTTATAGGAGTGTTTTTGACTTATTAATTGATACTGACAAATTGCAAACTGTTCTTTGGTCCCCTTGTTTGGTATTCAAAATTAGCAGTTACAGACTCACAGTACCCAAAAGTCAGAACCTATTTTTGTACTTTTTCGTAAGGGCAAAAATCATATCTAAGTACTTGACGTTTATGTCTAGTTTTAATTTGACTTTTAAAATTTTTAATTATCTTAATTTAGTCTCTTAAATTTAATTTTTAATTTAATTAATTTTTTTTAAATCAAATTTTGAGCTAATCTCTAGTTAATCTAATGGTGAAAATTGATGAAATAATTTAATTAAGATGAAATCGATTAGTTGAAGGACTAAATTATAGCAATTAAAAGTTCAGAGATCAAGTTAGAATTAACGATAAAATTCAAGGACCAACTAAAATTTGTATTCTTTTTTTAGTAAGTATAGTCTTTTCGAGCCCTCTTTGAACCCTTGGTCGATTGGACTTTGGGGAATAACATTAGTGACACACTCTAGTACTCTACTACTTTAAAAACTCTACCAGACGTAGACAAAAAGTTTAATTGATACCAAAAAAAAAAAAAAAAAAGTTTTAGAGACTTAAAAGAATATGAGAAAGAGTGAAGATAAAATAATGATAGAAAAATGAGATGTAAAGAATAATGTGATTCGACACATAGTGCTTTGCGGACCTAATGTGTCCATCAGGGTTATATTAGACTGAATTGTTTTGTCTAATTTATTTATTTTTAATACGGTAATTAAATGAGCCCTATAAATTATATTCGATGCATTATTAAAGGCAATTGATTACATAACGTTCAACCCTATTTATAGTGTGAGAATTATACAGGATAAAAGATAAATCACATATGTTTATCATCATATTTACTTATTTAAACAAATTTATATATTGATAATTGTTTTTCGATTCTATTATATCTTTACTTGTATACTGATATACTAGTTATAACTTGTGTCGAAAGGTACGATGAAATATAAAATTCGAGCACCTAAAAAATTGATTTTATTATATTAAATTTTTTTAACATGTATATATTATCATTTTCAACATTTTTTCCACATGTTTGAAATAAAAATTATGTTAAATGATTGACATGTGATAAAAATAAGTGATATGATATTTTTAAGGGAAAAAATATATAGAGAATAAAAATTCAAGTTGTTACACACATGTTTAGATTTTTTTTTTTTTTAATACTTAATAAAGGGATGGGATAAGATAGAGCGTCCAAAAATTATTTTAATAGGCTTTTATTAGTGGAATCTTGAGGCTCCTGACCACGCCTATTACTCGTCTCGGGAACGAACCTAATTAGATTAGCATAGAGGTTAATTACTAAACTTTAATGTGGATTTCAACACTCGAATTTCTAACTTCAGATTGAAAAATTTCGCCCATATCCTACTGGACTGTCCCACACAGTGGTACATACATGTTTGGATTACAGTGATAAAGATTGCACTAAAGTTGGTCGGTTAACTTCTTAATTCATTAGTTTGACTCAACTAATTGTCAAGGAGTATTTTGGGGGTGGATCATGAATGGTGGAGGCAACTAATCAAGAATGGAAAATATTATTTGGACATAATTTATTAATTTTATATATTAATTAAATATATTATAATTATTAAATTAATAGTGAGTCTTAGTTAATATTGACACTCACTATCAATTCAATAATTATAATTTATTAAATCATCTCCAATTGAGACCCAAATGCTTATCCCAAAAAAATAATAAAATAATATAGACTTCTCCAATAGAAAAATCTAAATTTAAACGAGAACAAACCTAAACTTGAATTTAAAGGAGGATATAATCTTAGCATAGGTGAAAATGATAAGAATTTGAGTCTTCCTTGATTTGGGTTTAAAAAGAAAATTTTTAAAATTTTTTTACCATTTTTTTTAGAAGTGTACAAAAAAAGGGTAAGAACTAAAAATACTCTTGGATCAATAAAATAAATTCAAATAATACTGCAGGAATTGAACACATCTTGATCTTGCATTTGTCATTCATCAACCAGCAATAACAGTAACAATAAAGTGTGTTATTGCTTGAAAATGACACTCTGCTTTGCCAAAAAGAAAGAAAAGCTAACAGTTTGAGAGCTTTACCTTTTCTATCTTTTATATCTCTTCCAATTAACTCTTTATTTTCACTTAATTCTAAATTTTAAGAAGTCAATCATCAAAAATCAAACTTCAAAAACCCTCTACATTTGGAGAGAGCTCAACTCATCCCTATTCTATTTTTAATAAATAAAAATACGACAAATATGTATTTTTTTTTAAATGTTATTGACTATAAAATCATTAGAGGTAATTTGTGCCTGAAGGTACGGTGTAATGTAAATAGTTTTGAGAAAGATGTTGGTGGTCATTGGATGAGTCTATTTGAGACAGTAAGATGAGCTTATTGAAGTCTGCCCTATTTTATATTATAGACTAGGAGTAACTCGTGCTTGAAAGCACAATGTAATGTAAATTAATGTGAATGATTTTGAGAGAGTTGTTGGTGGCCGTTGAATGAATCTATTTGAGACTGTCAGATGGATTTATTGAAGCATACCCTATTTTATTGAAACATGAATGTCAAATTAATGTAAATAGTTTTGAGAGGGAATCTGTTTTATAGATATAGATTTTTCTACTATAATAGAAAATTCATTAGAGTTGTCTAAAATATTTCAGTATCTATTCCAAAAATTTATCAAAGATGCTCTTTATTTCAAAAAAAAAAAATCTCTCAAAAATAAAGAGTATTATTAAAGATGTTCTTATCATCGATTTGATTTTATCTTGTTAGAGAGAGAGAGAGACCCAATTTATCAATGAAAACTGTGTTACATCACAAACTTGAATTTTACATAAGTTTATTTTAGCACAATCGTATAATGAGAATCAAAATTTTGTTTCATTATCTCTCTTGGCTGTCACTCAGAATGGACTGCTTGTTGTGACTGCACTAATCTGATTATCTGGCTGTGTTGGGGGTGAAAAATTCACCCTCTAAAGTTCTTCATAATTTTTGAAAATCTCTAATTCATATTTTCTAGCTCCATTCTCGATGTATCAAAGAATATAAGGATAACTCTAGGTTGGTCTAGTAATTAAGTTTGTCTTCTTACAAGTAAGAGGTCTTAAGTTTGATACTTCCTTCATTTCCTAATGATCAGAAACCATAGCTCAAGATACGGTGACCGGTCTTAGAACTCGAGAAAATAGTTGGTATAAGTTAAAACACCATGTAGTAAAACAACAAAGAATACAAGGTTGGCTTGGATCATTGTGCGGAAAATATACGTTGAGCCCCCTTAAGTACAAATTTTTGCAATGTAACCNAGAAACCATAGCTCAAGATACGGTGACCGGTCTCAGAACTCGAGAAAGTAGTTGATATAAGTTAAAACACCATGTAGTAAAACAACAAAGAATACAAGGTTGGCTTGGATCATTGTGCGGAAAATATACGTTGAGCCCCCTTAAGTACAAATTTTTGCAATGTAACCTCTCTCAATCCCTAGGTTGTATTTTCTTCTATTTGGCTCCCATACAATTGAATTCCTAACTTCACCCCCCTATCGATTTTCGATTTTGCCTTGTGACATGTATCATATGTATTTTTTTTTTTTTTTAAATTCTCTACTATACATGACTTACCCATCATGAATTTGAGTAAAATCAATCATATGCATGAGTAACCCATCAATACACGATAAGTTATCTACTAGTGTAAGAAATTAAGAAAATTTGTATTAGGGATCGTCGGGCTAGGCTCCTCTCTATTGTCTAATAATTGGAGGGTCCTTCAAATTCCTTTTTGAATGGTAAGCATCAACGTCAACAAATTTAGCTTATTTTGAATTTTAAAATTGAAGTTTTTAGCATAAAATCAGTATCGTTTAGATATATCTTCATCATTAAAAAAGAATTGAAAAATCCTTCAAATATTAAGAAAATGAAGAGGGGCCAAACCCTATGTAATCTATATGAATAATAATAACTACTTGCCATATAAAGTCTTCACTATAAATATTTTAAAAACAAATGCCTCCCAATATATAAAGGAACAAGATAATGAGTTGACTTTGTAGGTTTTTAATGCTTAAAATTGAATGAGTTGACCTTTGACAATTAAATTGTTTCATTAGGGCAATCTGTTGGAGGTTTGGTTGAGTCATGTAAGACCATTCGTGCCAAAAGGATTTTTTTTTTTTTTTGGTTTTATTATTCCACAAATTTTTTGGGAGTTAACATTAAGGTGTGTTTAAGTGTCCACTTCTAGCCGAATCACCATTGTTACGACCTTACAAAAGACAAGAAGGTATTTGATGTAGTTACAACTATCCGTAAGAAAAACATTATTCGAACCAATTATAATATAACATATCGAAATTAAAATTGGAATTAAGTTTAAATGCCCAACACAATATCGTGATCAGGGATAATTGGTGGGATTGAGGCGTCGAATAGGGTTTTATCTCATGGATGCCTCAATATTTATACCAAATATTGAATTGGGTGACAATGGTCTTTTTGCATATTAATATGGGAGTAATGCTACAAAATCTAAATAAAACTCAAAAAGTTGCACTCCAAATACATATCATTCCTTGGATGAGTGAGTCCCATCAATTTTTTCAGTGGGACCTACTCATCCTACACTCATCTAAAGAATGATATGCATTTGAGTTTTAATTTTTGAATTTCATTTGAATTATGTAGCATTTTCCTTAATATGGTCAAAGGGTCTAACTCCTTTGCATAATTACCCGCAAATATGTTGTTAGTAAAAATGATATCGTTTTTATAAAATTGTTAGACCAAAATAGTTTTTGTAGTTGTAAAAATTAAATTTTTGGTCGACTTTGAGTTTAAATTAAAGTGGGATCTACTCATTATTTCGAGTAAACTTTCATGAGTTTATGTTCTATTCCGTGAGAAGAATAACATATTATATTCACTTACTCAAATTGAGTAAGAGATAAATGAGAAAATAGACTTTAAAGTGATCCTCTTTGAATATAAAAATAAGAGGTTAAGCAATGTGGGATTAGACACTAATCTCACATTGGTTGTACAAGAAATTTTGCATGTGCATAAATATGTCAAGTTTGTACTATGGGTTTGACCCAATGGATACCACACTTTTGTAAACAAACACCTACATGGGTTTCGGTTCGACCACACACACCCATTACCCGACCGAATTGGGTACAGTCTAGACCCAATCTTATCTTTTTGGAAAAAAAAAATTATTTAACGAATTGGGTCCAAATTTCTTAACCTGATTTTAATTTTTGTCCATTGAAATTCAAAATTCACATTGGTTTGGATTTTTGGTTTCCTTCCGGTCTGAGTTTTTGAATTCATATATGTTCAGTAAGAAGACATCAGTGGTGTCTTCATGGCTACATTGTGCTTTTTGGGTTGTGTTTGTTTGTATGGTGGCTATTTGGATCTGTCATCATTTTGTCTATAAATAATTCAGATTCATTACCATTTTGTACCTACGTTTTTAGTTATTAAGGCAGTCATTACATTCATAATTTTTGACATTGGCAGCTAAATATCTGAGAGTAAAACAAACAATTCTAGTTCTGTGGACATTTAGATTAAAGTGTTATTTCTAAGTGTGTGAAAATTATTATATCTTAGGAGACAGAAGTTTAAATTTTCATAGGCACCAAATGTGGAGGCAAAATCTATCTTAAGGACATACTGTCAAATACTAGCTTTGATCCATCTAATATTTAATCATAGTTCTTGTTTTGCAAACATGTCAGCTTTATTAACGTCCGTTGCATATTTAACATAAAGTTATATCATTTTGCCCCCCCTCCCCAAACTATATAATTTTTTTTATTTTACTCAAACATGTTAGTGATTTCTATCAAAAAAGGTAATAGACATTTGTGATTAGGACAATGTAAAATAAAAGTGTTAATTTATGGTGTAATATAAAAAATTTAATAATAGAGGAGGTAAAGTAAAAAAAGGGTGATAGTTCAAAGAGTGTAAGTGTAATTTACCCGTAACTAAATTCCTGTGCAATCATAGCTCAACCTATTTTCGTCACAATTATGATACTCACCTCAATCCAACTACACATGAAATTTTAACAATTTTTGTTAGGCCTTTTAATTTTAAATACAACCCGTCAATGCAATACAAATTTGACATAAAATTAGTGAGTTTGATTTAAATCTTAGTGAACCTGTTAGATTCATTAAAAAAATAGGTCTATATGAACCTGCTAAGCATAATTAATAGGATTAATTACGGCTGTGGTCCCCAAAGTATTTATTTTGTCTCATTTTAGTCCCCAACCTTCTAATTTCATCAAATTGGTCCCCAAAGTATTACATTTGCACTTACCTAGTCCCCGCCGTTGAAGTCGTCCAGATTTCCGTCTATTCATAGTCATGTGCCATCCACATGACCCAGCTGAGGGGCTANTCCAGATTTCCATCTGTTCATAGTCATGTGCCATCCACATGACCCAGCTGAGGGGCTATAATGTCATTTACCCTCCTCCTATTACTAGAAGGAAGTTGATCAGGAGATTCTTCAATGTCTTCATTCACTTAATTTGCAAACTAAAGCTTTAGTTGGGCAAATCACGATTAGGGCAAAACACGATCACCATNAGTTGATCAGGAGATTCTTCAATATCTTCATTCACTTAATTTGCAAACTAAAGCTTTAGTTGGGCAAATCACGATTAGGGCAAAACACGATCACCATTAGGGCAAAGCAGAAGATCATTAGGGCAAAGCACAAAGATGGTATGTTCCAAACAACGAAAGACTGGAAATCAATATGCAGATGAAGACATTCCCCATTATGGTATGTACTTATTCTTATAGATTTGAGTCTAAGGTTCATGGGTAATAATGATTTGTAAAAGTCGGTATTCAATATTATATAGTTTATGTGTTTGTTCGAAACCATGTGTTTATGCATTGGAAACTCTTTGTTAATAGTTTGTATAAGTTGCAATTTTTTTAAGTTGATGTGGTCCTTGAAAACCATTTGTTTATGCATTGGAAACTGTTTAGTGATAGTTAATATGTTAGTTGCAATATTTTATAGTTGATGTGGTCCTTGAACAGGATCTTATTATACAACAGTCACAATGGAGAATCATCAGGTTGATGGTGATGTCTCAATTGATAAAGGGAAAAGGGTAGTATCAGAGTCTGATGCATCAGACAGTGAATACGAACCTGATTGTGAATCTAGTGAGTATGATACGTTGGTTGACAGTGATTATGAAGTGAGAATGATAACATGTTGTATGATAGTTATGTTGATAATGAAGCTGAATGGACTGGTTTGAATAGTAATAGGCAGAAAGAATCAGCAACAGACAAAAGGCAACAGTTAGAACTCANAGTGATTATGAAAGTGAGTATGATAACATGTTGTATGATAGTTATGTTGATAATGAAGCTGAATGGACTGGTTTGAATAGTAATAGGCAGAAAGAATCAGCAACAGACAAAAGGCAACAATTAGAACTCAGTGATACAGATGGTGATTCTGAGGAGATTTTAAGCTGCTTCAGTTCATCTGATGGAGAGAATCATGCAAGAAAACATAAAAAATTTGAAGTTTTTAGGGCAGAAAATGATGAGGAAGACCCACATTTAAAACTGGGTATGTCGTTTAGTACATCTGAGGAGATCAAGAATGTCATTAGACAACATGCTATCAAACATCAGAGAAATGTGAAATTAGTAAAAAATGATAAGAGGAGGGTGAGGGCAAAATGTGAAGGGGGCTGCAGTTGGCTGGTTTATGCTTGTAGAGTGCATGGTGAGAAAACATACCAAATAAAGACATACATTGGTAAGCATACATGTGGGAAAACTTATAATTATAGAAATGTCACCTCAAAGATGATAGCATTGAAGTATATGGATGAACTAAGGGCCAACCCTTGTTGGCTTATAAAGGCTGAGAGTTATGAGAGATTTTCATGTTGATGCATCAAGGAATCAATTGTATAGAGCAAAGAAAAGGGCAATGTTGTTGATACATGGTGATGAAATTGAACAATATGGTAGATTGTGGGATTAATGCACATGGTGATGAGGAAAATTGTGAACTTATATTTCAGAGGTTTTATGTATGTCTTGCAGCATGTAAGAGTGGGTTTCTTCAAGGGTGCAAGAAAGTGATTGGATTAGATGGTTGCCACCTGAAAGGGGCATATAGTGGACAATTATTGACTGTTGTTGGGATTGATGCCAATGATTCTATGTTTCCCATTGCCTACTGTATTGTTGAGATTGAGATGAAAGAATCATGGGCATGGTTCTTAACAGTACTATGCATCGACTTAGACATAACTAATCAAAACCATGAGCAGTGGACCTTTATCACTGACAGGCAGAAGGTATGTTTGCATGTTTATTTCTTTATCAGTTTATATTAACTGTACTATGCATGTTTAATTATTGTATATTCAGTGCAGGGTTTGCTTCCAGCATTGACTAAGAGAGTACCAACATCTGAGCATAGGCATTGTGCTAGGCACATGCTAAAAAATTTCATTAAACACTTTAAGGGATTGAGTATTAGGAAGAAATTTTGGAAATGTGCTAGGGCAACTTATGTTTCAGAATTTGACTATGGGATGCAAATGGTGAAAGAAGAAGATGAGAAAGCATTTGATTGGTTGGCCAATAAGCCGCCAAGGTATTGGAGTAAGTCACACTTCAGAGAAGAACCTAAGTGTGATATTTTGTTAAACAATCTATGTGAGAGCTTTAATGGGACAATTATAGAGGCAAGGGATAAACCCATCATAGAAATGGTAGAATGGATTAGATGCTATTTAACTCAAAGAATGTTGAAGAGGAGAGAATGGGTTAGGAATTGGCATGGTGATATATACCCTAAGATTCAAAAGAGATTAGAGAAATGGAAAAGTGGTAGCTTTGATTGTATTGCTGAGTGGTATGGTGAGTTGAAGTTTGAGGTAAGGTGTATGAATGGAGACCAATACACAGTTGATTTGAAGGAACAGTCTTGCTCATGTAGGAAATGGGACTTGACAGGGATCCCATGCCCACATGCCATTGCTTGCATTCAAAATAGGGGACAACAACTAGAAGATTATGTTATTGGGTAGTACAAGAAGGGGGCATTCATGCAGGCTTATGAACCAATTATAAACCCCATTAATGGACATAAGATGTGGCCTAAAAGTGGATTGACCCCACCATTGCCTCCATTGATCAGGAGACAACCTGGTAGGCCAAAAAAATTACAGAGGAAGGAACCAAATGAGTTGATTAATAAAAAACAACCACACAAGTTGATGAAAATGTGGAAATGTGTTAGTTAATTGTAGGAGATGTGGTCAAAATGGGCATAACAGGAGAACTTGTANAAATGAGTTGATTAATAAAAAACAACCACACAAGTTGATGAAAATGTGGAAGTGTGTTAGTTAATTGTAGGAGATGTGGTCAAAATGGGCATAACAGGAGAACTTGTACTGTTACACTGCCAGAAGGAAACCAAGGTGAAGTGAGCCAATCTGCTGTGAACCAAGGTGAAGGGAGCCAAACTGCTGTTATCCAAGCTGGAGTGAGTCAACCTGCTGTGAGCCAAGGTGGAGGAAGCCAAGCTCCTGTTATCTAAGCTGGAGTGAGTCAACCTACTGTGAGCCAATATGATGTGAGCCAAGGTGAAGGGAGCCAAGCTGTTGTTATCCAAGCTGGAGTGAGCCAATCTGCTGAGAGCCAAGCTGCTGTGAAAGGAAGGTCTTACTTTGAACAGGTAAATAATTTCATTGAACTTTTTGGACTTTTTGGCAAGTAGTAAACAATTTCATTGAAAAGCATTGACTCATATCTTACCTTTTTCTCTATATAGCTTCAAGGTTCAACCATTGGTTCACCATCAACAAGCACCCATAACTTCAAGGTTCAACCATTGGTTCATACATGAAGGGATAAAATACTATCAGGAGGAGCAAATGAACAAGCACCCATGCAGCTTCTCTCTTCTTTTTATTTGGAGCCAATGTAAATGTGTTGCTCTCTTTTGAGTTTGTGATGAGACTCTAAATCTGGCTTATATGTAAATGTGTTGCTATCTTTTGGGTTTGTGATGTAAATGTATTCTTTCTTGCTCTCATTTTGGGTTTCTACTGAGAGACGAACTTGTAATTATGAACATCTTTTTGTCACAACTAACAGGTTGTTACCTTAATGAAAATCAGCATTATGACAATTTGTTGTTTGATGCTAACAGGTTGTTTGTGTAGTCAACACTATTTTACAGGGATTTATGGATATGCCCTAGCAGTGTTGTGGCTTTTTTGCATTGGTAGTAGTCATGACTAATCGAGAATGACATGGGAGCAAACAGGGCACATTCAAACTCATAAGTTCGCGACTATTGAAGAATACCTAACACTTAACAGGTAGTTTTGATGCAAACAGGTTGTTACACTTTCAATTACATCAAACATAATAATTACATTTACATAAAATGCCACTTTCACAGGGCACCATCCTACGCAAAAATAGGGTACCCTCTTGCACAAAAACAGAGCACTCTCCTACACAAAAACAGGGCACCTTCCACAGACAAACAGGGCACCCTCCACAGACAAACAGGGCACTACTACCTACAGGAAATGCCACACCTAAGTGATAATAAAAAATGTCCAAGAACAGAATAGAGCAACCCATAATAATTTTTCCCTAGCTTTTGCCTTTCATTGTTGGTTCTCCTGTATTTGCTTTGATCGCAACAATCCGGGTATCCCTTGCTTCGCTCTATCGCATATTGGCGAATCATACCAAGCAAAAAATCCACACCCTCCAGCCTCTTACAAATTCAACATTTTGTTAAATGCATTCAAAATAGAAAACTCAGTAACAAAATCCAGAACATTTTGTTACTTCATATCTTTCACATCCAATGAACCTTCTTTTTGGGTTGGTATCGGTTCATAAGGTCCTCATTTTGGCTACTTTTTTACAGTGGCATGGTTTTGCTAGCATTCCAGCCGCTACTGCCTTTCCTTCCTTTCCCCTCATTTTCTCCCTCTCTTCTTCTATGCTCTGTAACACACAATGGGTCTTGTAGATATACCTAATGGCGGGAATGTTTTCCTCCAGTAATAGGAGGAGGGTAAATGACATTATAGCCCCTCAACTGGGTCATGTGGATGGCACATGACTATGAATAGACAAAAATCTGGACGGCTTCAACGGCAGGGACTAGGTAAGTGCAAATGTAATACTTTGGGGACTAATTTGATGAAATTAGAAGGTTGGGGACTANCAGTAGTTCATGTGTTTTTGCAAATGTACTAGTTTTGGGTATTTTTGTGCTTATATGATGTGCATGTTATGATGTTCGTTATGCTTTCATTTGCAAAATGAGATGGGTTGGGGGAAGAGGTGTGTTTTTGAATAATGTATAGAAGTACAGGTTTTATAGTCACATATGAAAAACAATTTGAAGAATTGATTGAAGGGACTGTATNCCAAAATGAGACAAAATAAATAATTTGGGGACCACAACCACAATTAATCCTAATCAATATATAATTTACACACGATAAANCTAAAATGAGACAAAATAAATACTTTGGGGACCACAACCACAATTAATCCTAATCAATATATAATTTACACACGATAAAAAATAGTGTGTTATAAATGAGTTAGGTATGAATTTAGTAAATTTTGACACAATACAACTTATAAATAACACAAACTCNTGATGGTTTAAATTTATTATATTTTGTTTAGGTTTTTGAGCCATTTATTCCAAGCAATTTGAAGATTTCAGCTGAAGAGATCGAGATGGCCCTTATTACGCCAAATAATTTGCTTGCTCAGCTTCACATAATACTTTTGAAGGTTTTTGTTTCTTTGTCATCTANTCAATTTGCAACTATTTATTTGGCAACCCTAATTTTTGTTAAAGAATAAACAATGAAAGACCTATCATATGAAGTGTCACTTGTAGAATTTATCTTATAAGAAACAAATTTTTAAATGAAGTAGATTTTTTTCTAACGGTCANTTAATTTGCAACTATTTATTTGGCAACCCTAATTTTTGTTAAAGAATAAACAATGAAAGACCTATCATATGAAGTGTCACTTGTATAATTTATCTTATAAGAAACAAATTTTTAAATGAAGTAGATTTTTTTCTAACGGTCAATCACTTTTGTTTCTTAGGAGACATGTTTTAAACTCGTTTAGACGAGTTCGAGAGAGTAATCGGCGCAAACCTAAATACCCTATTACCAAAAAAAAAAAAACACCAAAACTCAAAATTTCATGGTAGGGAAAACAAAAAAAAAACATAAGAAATTAACCCTAGAATGTTTTTTTTTAGTTCATCATTTAGGGGTATTCGAGTCCACTTATGTTCATATCGACTAATTTTTTCTCTGGTCCGATCAGGTCAAAAATAATTCATTCACGTCTAAAAAATTGTAAAAATTTGAATTTAAGACCACATCCCAAAATATAGGCTTAAAATTTAACCATTTATATCATCCAAAGAAAAGAGCTCAAGAAATGAAGACTTAGAAATGTTGCAGTTTAAAATTCAATTTTCGGGAAAAGATACCCGGTACCTCTGATAAGGAGTACTGGTACTTAGGCCTTTTGAAAGCCAGGTACCGATACATGTAAGACTTGATATTGGTAACATGCGTGATAAAATTGATAATTAGAAATATTGTTTGAGATGGAATATTGTTCATATTGTACTCATGACATATTGAACATGATGATGTAATTACAATTGAAATCTTGGTTGCATAATAATGTAAAATACAATTGTATATTATATTACATATGTACGAGAAACGTCACATTCATGGACATGTGATATGAGTGTGAATGTATACGTAGTTTTGATCAAACACTATCTTTGATGGGTTGATACGTGAACTCGAAAAAATTAGGTAAAATTTGATTGAGTCGCACGAGTTTGCATTAAAAATAAAGTTAGAATTAAAAAAAAAGGGTTAGATTGTCCCTTAAGTATAAAACCCGATAATTAAAATATGCACTTAATATTAAGTTCATAAAATATGCGGACATAATCTAAATATACAGTTTGCCTTGTTACCGGTTAAGCGACAGGTTCTAGAAAGTTTTAACCCTAACCTAGTAGGTCCCTAACAGAGAGGTGGGAAAAAAAAAAAAGAAATGAAAAGAAGAGAAAGGCGGGAAACCCCCAAATTTACATCAACCTTACAACTTCTCCCCACTTCGCTAACATTTTCTCTCACCATTCTCTCTCCTCACTCACAAATTTTCTTCAATCTTCTTGCTCTTGTTTCTCTCTGTAAGAATTTAAACACTTTTGAATCATGACCGAAGATCGCCGGATGCCAACGCCGGAGGTTACTGCCGAAGAAGAAATCGGCTATGATGTAGTGTTGGTTTCGGAGTCATCGCCGACGGACATGGATTTTGAGCGGAGTAAACTTCGTCAGCGTTGGGAGTTGGCCTCTGTTCTCAATTTCCTCAATGTAAATTGTACTCCAACCGTTGATTTTTCATATTTGTTCTTGCTTGTGAATCTGATGTACATATGTAAGTGTGTGCGAGTGTGTCTGTTTACTTGTATGTATACGTGTATATGTATGTCCACATGCACCCCGTAGTTCATGTGTTTTTGCAAATGTACTAGTTTTGGGTATTTATGCGCTTATATGATGTGCATGTTATGATGTTCGTTATGCTTTCATTTGCAAAATGAGATGGGTTGGGGAAGAGGTGTGTTTTTGAATAATGTATAGAAGTATAGGTTTTATAGTCACATATGAAAAACAATTTGAAGAATTGATTGAAGGGACTGTATGCGTGTAGGTATGCAGATGGGTTTATATATGGACGTAGTATGCAGTTAATTCGTATATGTGTGAGTGTGGGTGTGTAGTTGTTGGTTTCCTATAAATATGTGCTGCCAGACTTCTCATGGTTTAAATTTATTATATTTTGTTTAGGTTTTTGAGCCATTTATTCCAAGCAATTTGAAGATTTCGGCTGAAGAGATCGAGATGGCCCTTATTACGCCAAATAATTTGCTTGCTCAGCTTCANTCAATTACTTGTTTTCATTGGTAATGGCAGGATGAATTCTCATCCAGCAAAGTAACATGGGAAGTTGCTGTTGCAAAGACTGTTGAAACAGATGCCATTTCTGTTCTTGAGAAACTTCAGAAGGTCAGTGTCTGAAATCTTCCGCTNCACATAATACTTTTGAAGGTTTTTGTTTCTTTGTCATCTATGATTTCTGAGTTTAGATTGCTTTAGTTTTTCTTTTTTTAATTTGGCTAGTTATGTATTTGATGAATGGTTAATTTTCCATTACATTGCAACCATCTTTTGAGGTTTCTAAGTGGTGCAAACTGGTGCGAGTATTCTTGATATCAAATAGATTTGTGTCTAATGACTGTGGAATTCTGCATATTCACAAAAAGAAAGAATGACTAGAGAATAATGAAGTTGAACATTTGGTCAATCAATGTTGACATGATTAGAGAAAATGGATGGCAGCTAATGCTGATGCTTTTAGCAATCAACAAATCACTGTTTTCATTGGTTGTCCGATTGTTGCCGACAAATTTTGACGAATTCCTTATGCTTAAAAGGCGTATTATTNCGGCTAATGCTGATGCTTTTAGCAATCAACAAATCACTGTTTTCATTGGTTATCCGATTGTTGCCGACAAATTTTGACGAATTCCTTATGCTTAAAAGGCGTATTATTTGAAGATAGAGTAAATGAATGCTTTGTTTTAAGGTACAAGGGAGTAATAAAGGTATCATGGTTCACTTTTGTTGATTAATGATTATATGTGAATAAAGCTAACCACATGACATCTATTTATTGGATTGGATGAACGCAAACCTGAAGCAGCAGGACCATTATTAAGGCTAGATTGTGCAACCACTAAATAGTCAGTGAGTTGGCCTGAGCTATGAGGCTTAAGTTAGTCACCCCTGGTCTTATGCTAGTTCAATATAATTACCGACATGCATAGGGGACTACTATCATGAGGTTACTAGAAGAGAGGCAAGAGACTATGTAATTTATTGCTGGTTTCAATTTCCAAAGGACAGAGGATTGGGACGAGTCTACTTTGTGCTATTAACAAAGCATCTTTCAAATCTAATAGAGAGATTGTTAGTTTGAAGCGATCTTTATAAGGGTTTGAAAGCTGAAAATATAATCCAAGTATAGTGTGCACCATATGCAATCAGTACTCTTTAATTAATGAGGCAGAAAACTATCTTAAGTATGTACAGTTTCACTGACTGATATTTCTTTTTATCAGTCACATAGTTAGATATTGCTAGATGTGGATACTGTTTGTTTAGAGTGAGGCATGTCATTTGGGGCTCTTGTTTCAGTTTGACGCCTATGTATTCACTCTTCATTCTATTTGGCATTATCTAGTTCGCATGGTATGCATGTTGTTTTCTCTAATAATAAGATTAAATTGCATGTTGCTTTTATAATATCTCTTTTGTGAAATTCCAACAAAATTATATAATATTTGTAGTTTTGGTTGGCACAAGATTGTTAGGTAGTATAGGGTGTTACCCCAATTTGCAGAATTATCTGAGGATAATAGAACTTAGCTAATTTATTGAAATATGCTTAAAAGACTATTTTTAGAAGTGTGTATGCTCAAAAATGCTTTGAAAGACAGTCGAATTCACTTAAGTATCATGGAAACGTGGGAGAGTGGTTTTGCCTTCATGTCGTTCTCAAACAGATGCGTATTTTAATTATATTTACTGTTGTAGTTTATGGCAAGAATTAGTTTTGCCACTCTTCTATTGTTACTTGTAATGATGATGTAAATGCTTGTCAGGGAATACCGCCTGTAAGCAAATCCTTAAATGATCCTGATGCTTGGGTGACAGCACTTTGTATGAAACTATCTATGTGGTGGCGATGGGTAGGTCTTTTGAGATCATGATAGCCACAGGAAATGCTTTAATTAACAATATTCTCAATAGAACAACACAATCAGAGAACAATAATATCATACTTTGGTAACCCTTGTTTGCAGGTTGCCGATGGGGAAAATCCAATCACTGTTGTTAAAGGGTTTGTCTTTCGCACTTCTTTAACTAGGCCTCGTTTCTGATCTCATATGTTACGTGACTACAATGTCTTTGCCCTTTGCTGCCATTGTTTGTGCAGAGAGGAGATAACCAGTTACAAAGAACTTGATGCAACAACGCGTCTATTAATGCTTAAAGCACTTTGTGAGATCCGAGCTGATGTATTGTATCTATCCATTTTTTCTTCTATTTTCATTGTGAAGAATCTTGTTAATCATAATATTGTTCTGCATGCCACATCATCTGGAGTATCCTTTTGGTGGTTTGATTTGCTTTCCATGTTGCTTTTTGTCTTTGGTACCACTACACATGGTATTGTGTTGTTTAGATGTAGTGTTAAATGTCATTTTGTAGCTACAAAANTGGATTTGCTTTCCATGTTGTTTTTTGTCTTTGGTACCACTGCACATGGTATTGTGTTGTTTAGATGTAGTGTTAAATGTCATTTTGTAGCTACAAAATTTTCTTCAAATAGGCTCGAAGAGGCATTTTTGTTACTCTATCTTCTATTTTTCTGTTGATATAAAGTATTTTTGTTCGCAGCAATATGATATAGTGGCTTATATTAATGATGCATTAAAAGATGGAACTGAGGTTTATACTTTCAGAAAGGACAAGATAGGGGGGGATGGAAATGGAACTACATACTGGTAAGTTTTATGCATTGTCATTATAATATAATCTTACTTTATTTGATAACTCCTGTCTATTTATCACAGGTGCGATGGAAATGCAACTATGGGTTATAGATTATACAAGGAAGTGAATAAATTCGTTATCAAGCAAAAAGTTAAGGGGAAAGAAACTGTACCTGCAATTAATTCCCAGTGGGATACACTTGCAACCAATCTTGATGAGTTTCGTAAAGTTGTGGTAAGGTCTCATTTAAAGAGTTTGGGGGATTTTTGGTGGGGTCACAATTCTTTTTTGTTTTGGTATAAAAAATCTTAAGTACTTGTTTTCATTGGTAATGGCAGGATGAATTCTCATCCAGCAAAGTAACATGGGAAGTTGCTGTTGCAAAGACTGTTGAAACGGATGCCATTTCTGTTCTTGAGAAACTTCAGAAGGTCAGTGTCTGAAATCTTCCGCTAGGCATACAACTTATTTTGTGTCGGCTTCGGCAACTATGAATCGAAAGCTCACAGCCTTGTACCGTTCAAAACTTGTTATTTGTGTGGGTTGAACCTGACATGTCTATTCTTTCTGCCTCCAACAGAAGAAAGAAAGAGTACTGAAACGAAAGCAAAAACAAGAAAAACTTTTGAATGGTTTTCAAAATACTGGGATCACTCGTTCTGTCCGCAATCGTAGGCCTGTCACTTACACTTTTGGTATGATAAAATCTTGTGTATAATTTCCTTTTTTTGATCATACTTGGCTGAATCAACTGCGAAATCTAGATATCTCTTGCTTTGTGTTAAATGTATAACCATTCAGCATGCAAGAAGTTTAAGACCTTGTAAATGATGGTTCATAGCTTGTGAATTTGAATATTTGAAAGATTATTCCAAAGATGAAGGTGATCCCATATACAAGGCCACCAAATAAATAGCACCCGGAGAGTTGCAGACTTAAATAGATTGAAATTTACAAGTTGCTTTAGTTCAGCTGAAAGCTGAGCTGAAACTGTTGCAATGCTAAGAGTCTGATTGTATAAGCGTTTTCGTATGCTGGACCGGCTGACACTATAAGCAAGTGAAATGCTTGCTCAGGGCTCCCAAAAAATGAGGGGCCCCAAATTATATTTTTGGTCTTTACAATATGGGTTAATCTGGCTCAAGAATATTATGGAATAATGGTCCAAAATATAAAAAATCTGATTCTCCTCTTTTTTAATAAGTTTTACACTCTTCCACCAACTCAACGGTCACATCTGACATCACTCACCTAAAAGATCACACCTCTCTTAATTTGTTGTCAAACCAATAACTCTCCATAATTGGGGCATAAATAAATACATTTACATAAACAAATCTTGTCTACACCTTTCTCTCTCTCTCTCTTAATCTCTCTCATTCATATGTTTTTAAGTTCATAACGCATTGAAAAATGTCATAGTCATAAAGTAGCATAAACCCTCTTTCTTCATTGAAAAAATGGCATAACCAATAAATAGCATATATATTCATAATAAGTTTGTAAAGGCCCCGCTTAAAGTTTTTGCTTAGGGCCCCAAATTCTATTGTGCCGCTTGCGTATGCGGNCATAATTTGTTGTCAAGCCAATAACTCTCCATAATTAGGGCATAAATAAATACATTTACATAAACAAATCTTGTCTACACCTTTCTCTCTCTCTCACTCTCTCTCTTAATCTCTCTCATTCATATGTTTTTAAGTTCATAACGCATTGAAAAATGTCCCCTCTTTCTTCATTGAAAAAATGGCATAACCAATAAATAGCATATATATTCATAATAAGTTTGTAAAGGCCCCGCTTAAAGTTTTTGCTTAGGGCCCCAAATTCTATTGTGCCGCTTGCGTATGCGGATATCTATTTCCATAATGGTAGAAATCTTATTTTTTCATTATATTCCTCTTGTTAGTTTGGTAAGTTCTTGAGTACAAAATCCAGTCCATTTTTGGTGCATCTTAGCATTCTATGACACTTTAAGCTAAGCACACATTGTAGTGCTCTATTGTTGTGGTTTATTTTTGCTAGGGAGCATGTCCATAGATTTCAAAATTAGCAGTTATTATACTATAAACTTAAAAATTGAGAATTTGTATGCTGAGTACGAGTGACTCAGGGAGCCATTGAAATTTAATTATTGGACGTTCTTGGTGCATCCTTTTCATTGAAAGACTTGCTATATCTGAGTTAGACAATAAGAATACTATACCGTGGGATAAGAAAACATAATTTGACAGGAACATGAGCCAACCGGGGAAGTATTAAAAATGTGAGTACTAAGGGTTCTCAGTACAAACTTGCTGCAAGACTTCTCATGCGCATGCATTTAACAGCTACAGTGTTTTTTTTTTAATGTATTCCATTTCCTACATTGATAGCAAAAAAGGTTTTCTCTTATTTGGAGACTAATATGCAGATGAGTATGACAAGGCCATTACTGAGGCTATACAAGTGATAAAGTAAGTAATTATTTACTTGAATGTATCTGCCAGTTTATATTTCTTATCTTCGCTTTCCATGTAATCTACCGGTTTATTTTACTGAGGCTATACATTTGGTGTCTACCAGTTTAATATATCTACCGGGAATTATGCTTTCTGGTCCTTGAGTATTCCTTAGTTTGGATTCTTTGGAACATTAAATCTTTGTAGTTATGCATGGTTTTCAATTATGGAAATGTGCGAACAATACAAGACGTTGATGAATACTTTCAAGAACATGTATAAATTTACTGGACTCTTTGGAATTCATGGTGCTGAAAAACGTTGCCAAGGATGATTGGGTTGGTCATGAGCTGGGATCTGACCATTTAACGTTGTGAAACTCAGTGTAATCCTTGCCTGACCTCAGGCATATATCTAATGTTGCTTCCCTAGTCACGGGTGAACATGGGCCTGTCCTGATGACTATAGTTTATATATAGTAATGACAACTGCCTTTAATAAGCATACCATTTATGTGATAATGTAATTGACATTTAGATTTTCTTGGGTGCCCGTATTTAGTGTTGCAAACATAAAATTTAAAAGTAAGCAGCTTCTTTAGTATTACAAGGCTCAGGGTATATTGTCCAGCCAGCTTCTAGATTATGGGGTTAGTGTCCTGCAGAAACCCATTTGTGGGTCCATGGCTTGTCGTAATATGCAAATCATGTATTTTATGATTTGCNGATAGCTAGATTATGGACCTAGTATCATGACGTATGGGGTTAGTGTCCTGCAGAAATCCATTTGTGGGTCCATGGCTTGTCGTAATATGCAAATCATGTATTTTATGATTTGCAATAATGATTTATTCCATCAAATTGCATCAGCAGTTTGCTATCAACTTGGTTTTCCTGCATTTGTACTCCAGATGAAGGTTCAGGCCTTATATTGGCAGAGCTAGGCATGTGTTTTTTGCCATTGTCTAGTATTAGGCAATAATCTGTTCTTTTTGGCCAATTTTATTAAGTATACATAATGTCTGTTGACTTCAATGTGGTTCAGGGAAAGGAAGACTACTGAAGAGCAAAGGCATGAAGAAAAACATAGTAAGCAAGGAAGAATAAATGAAATTGCCTTGAACAGGCGCACGGATCCAGACACTAAATCAAGCAACAGTGAATCCACTGAGAGCAGCAGGCTTCAAGGGGGTGATAGTGATGATGATGGTAATTGCAATGTGTATGATGGTAAAAAAGCCAGTGATGGTAAGGATGATGGCAGTGGCTCGAGCAATTTCAACAAGAAAAATGATAGTTTTGGCATTTGGAATGAAGCAAAAGTTCATTATCAGAAGCAGAATGATTCCTTTGCCAATGTGCGTGCATCACGTTGGAAAGCTGGGATTGCTGGACATAATGTTGCCAAAAGTGGACGTTTAGGTGCAAAGAATAGGTCGAGGCAAAGACCTACTCGGAATACTGCTATTGAGACAGCTGTTGTCCCTGATTCGGAAGACGAAAACTTGTCAAAAAGTACCAGCAACAGGATAAAAAATATTGAAAACACATCTGCTGTTGCTGATGATGACATGGACTGCTGAAATACTTCCAAGTGGGATGCACTACACAAAACACCCTAATTTTTGTGTTATGAATCAGATGTTGGTAACATGTTTATCGTAGGGCTGTGAAATTTTGTATAGCCTTCGTTGTCTCGTATGCTTTCTGAGAACTTTGTTGTCCAAATTGAAGGAAAGAAAACGAGGGTATTAGTGTTAGGTTGATAAATAGCTTATTACGCGAATTGGATCCATTTAGCCTCTACCTTCTCTTTTGTTAATTGCCATGGTGTTGTATGCCACTGATGGTTGTAAATCAATTCTACTAGAATCTTTTTTCAATGGTACTATGTGATGGCCGTCATATCGGTTCAATTGCTACTTTGAAACTATCTAACCTTTAATATTGTTTGTCCAAAGTGGTTGTCTTCAGACTAGTTCCAAGTGTTTTCTTGGATGCTCTTACTTTTAATGAATTTGCTCATCCTTGAAACACCATCTTACTTTCTTAGGCCTGCATGAATTTTTTCAAGAGTGGTTTACTGGTTCAAGCTCTAGCAGATGTTCCGTTGCTGTAACAGCAATCCCATGATTGCGGCGAGTTACTGAACTCAACAAGGGGCCCCAAATTGCAGAATCTGGCTTCATTGGCGTCGTCTTTATCAGTTCAAGAACCCAAGCAAGACACCCATCTACGAAGATTACTCAAACAACCAAAATGCACAATAGTTGGCTCTATACTGTAATCATTCCTCATCGGATAAAAGAACACCAGCCAAACTGATCTCCTTTGGTTCAACCTTTGCTGTGTGCATTTTTTAAAACAATTCTAATTCTTGATGAGCTTTCCGGTGATTCGCTAGCCCTTCAATCATTTTACTCGAAAGAGATCACATCCCTTTCGTACACTTGATCAAACGACTGCTAGGCTTTGCTTATGCTTCCACATTTGGTTTTATTTGGCATTGCTTCAAAGGGGTATGGCTCGTCTGCGGTTGGGAGCTTACCGCATGTTATGCGGTTTAATGAAACGGCTGCGTTTCAGGTTTTTTTTCCTTTTTTATTTTTACTCTTCCTTATAATAAACGACGTCGTTTTTAGCTCAGGTAAAAACTAGATCTGAANCAAAATCATACCCAAAACCATAGTTAATATACTGGCAACACCAAAAATCCTTAGAGAACTCGATTGGTGCAATGGGTAATTTCCAAGACTTTCGGATCTTTAAATTCCACAAAACAATGTCTTCCTCTGTGTTAGATAAACAGAGCAAGACATTACAAGAACCCAATACCTCAGTTCCAAATTCATCACACTTTAATGGATGGTTGAGTTCTTTGGCAGTAGCAACGTTATCAAGTGAATCAAAGTCTACAGAGTATAGTCGGGAGTCACGGAGAATTAGGTTGAGATTTGAGTTTGTTTCAATCGATTGGTTTACATGCATTTTGATGAAATTAGGATTGTCTATTAGAGAACACCATGGTTTTGATACACACCTGAATCGAAGGAGGGACTCCACCGGTAAGCGTGAAAGTATGTTGTGAGTATTTCTTCAGGAACGTCCGACATTGTTGGCTGGTCAAGAAGAATAAGCCATGGGTGCGCGAGATGTTGGTATAAATAGGAGAATCATACTTTGTATCCGGGTCCGGCTCTTCTACGGTAAGAAGTCAACCGCTTGACGTGCGCTTCAGTGGAACGGCGTCGTTTTATTATTTTTTTTTAATTTGTTTTATTGATCTTTATCAAAACGACGTCGTTTTGGTCTGACTAATTCCACCCTTAAAGATCTGCACCCCTCTTCTTCGTTAAACTTCAACAGAGCCTTGCGACACCAGCAGTTTCGGNGTTTTGGTCTGACTAATTCCACCCTTAAAGATCTGCACCCCTCTTCTTCGTTAAACTTCAACAGAGCCTTGCGACACCAGCAGTTTCGACGATTTGAACCCCTCTTTCGCCGATTTCAAGCAACTCTCAATTGAATTCCATTTAGGATTTCGTGATTTGATAAAGATATCGGAGGGATAAGTTCAGGTGCGACTTCAACAAAGGGTGGGTGAGGAAAGCCAAAGGCCTCGAAGTCTGTGTCCAGGTCTCAGAAGGCTGGTCTACAGTTCCTAGTGGGTAGGATTGCTAGGTTCTTGAAGGCTTGCAAGAATGCCGAGCGTGTTGGTGCCGGAGCTCCGGTCTATCTCTCTGTTGTCCTTGAATACCTCGCTGCTGAGGTATAAACTACTTCCCATTTCATCCCATTTTCTTATTTTCATTCCGATATGTGTGTGCGCTCGGCAATCAGAATTAGGGATTGTTATGGTTGATTGTAATTTCTTGCTAATTTGTTGTTTTTCAAGACGGGTTCATTTTCTTGGAGACGTTTGAAGTTCTCCATGCTACAATTTCATTTTTTATATCTGAGCTTTTAAGATTTTTCTGTCTTACGTTTCATAATATTGAATGGTGATGGATTTAATTTATGTTTTTACTGTATTGTTTTCCAATTGCATCACATTTTCATGTTACATTTGGTTGTAATCGCTTGCAAATTTGTTATTTTTTTTCAAATGTTTTTTTTCTTGGGATTCAGGTATTGGAGTTGGCTGGGAATGCAGCAAGGGATAACACGAAGAATCACATAGTGCCAAGGCACATTCAGCTTACAGTGAGGAATGATGAGGAGCTTAGCAGGCTTTTGTGTGGATTCCATTTTCCAAATTAGTTGCCTTAGGAAATTTGTAATTTGTCTAGGTGAGAAAATGCTATTGTTTAGTGCCAGAGTGTGATTATTATTGTAATTAAAACATTGAAATTTTTTTTTGGAATTTTGATATGTATGGTTAATTTGGAACTTTAGAAATTGCAATAGCCCTTTAATTCATTCAGCACAAACAATATATTCTTTTTTTTTTTTTAGAAAAAAAAATTTTATTCCATGAAACAATGAATTACAAGAAGAAAATGAATTCAAAAATTCTAATTACAAAGAGTTGGCTTTAATCCTTCAAAAGGATTAAAACCAGAAATCTATCAAGCACAGTCCAGCTACCCAGCCAAAAAAACAGCCCATGGCCTAACACACCATAGACTGCCTACAAACAGAACCCAAAACTTGGACTTGCTATTCCTCCAGCTGCAGAGTGAACTTCTCTTTACTGTGCTCTGTATCTCATAGCTTAGCTCCTGCTCCTTTGCTCGCAGCTCAGCTCTCAACAACAATCTGCCAGAATAGTAGAGAGCTACTGAAATAGAACAGACCAGCAAATCAAACCAACAACCAAGCATAAAGTCCACAACAACCCTCTAGCATCAATACCCCAACAGTTATCTTCAAAAACCATCTTAGCAGAAAAGTCATAAAATTATCAGTTTACAGACCAGCTACCCCTGATTTGCAAACTTGACAGTACTGCACCTCCAGCTGTTGATAATTCATTACAAACAATATGTTCAATATAATGATATTCAGCACAACATAAGCATTCAAAAAAGAGAGCAGCAAACATAGCTTTGTCCAAAACATATGGAATCGATTACATGAATTAGGTTATACCATTGTGGATAAGAGGTACTTGCATATTAACTCAAGTATTCCAACTGTTTTAAGATCATAGAATACTTATTAAAAGCATCAAGGAATATGCTAGCATCACTTGAAGCAAAAATCAAATAGGAATATGTTCTCAATGTTGTCAACTTGAAGGGAATGCTCAGAAGGGCATTTTCAAGCTAAATTACATCTGGTGCTTCATAACAAAGCAGTGACAGAGCTTATAATTTAATTCACCCCATTTAGACCAAACAAACCAAGATATTGATCATCAATTAACGAAACGTGACTCAGCCCCCATTAATACTCAATTTCTTAATTTTTTGAGATGGTTTACAAGAATGGAATTCATACTCATAAACGTATACAACATACTACAAATTATGGACAATAATTCTATATGGGACTCAAGCATTGGAAGCCAAAGGTAGCAACTGATCAAGATAGAACTGCTTGAACCAAATCCTTTTTGGCATTTTTTCAAACAGGTGGAGGGTGGGAAGGAGTGTGTGAGAGATTTGCTTGAAGGAGAAAGAGGGAGCCAATTTCAACATCCAATGCTCATGGAATTAAACCAACGCCAATGAGGGGTGCAGATTGAAAAAAAAAGAGGGGTGCAGGTTGAAAATGAACCTGTCTCAAAAAACAACAAATTAGCAAGAAATTACAATCAACCATAACAAATCCTCAATTCTGATTGATGGCGCACACATATCGAAATGAAAACAAGAAAATGGGAAGTAGTTTATACCTCAACAACTAGGTATTCAAGGACGATAGAGAGGTAGATTGGAGCTCCGGCACCGACACACTTGGCATACTTCCCAGCCTTCAAGAACCTAGCAATCCTACCCACTAGGAACTGTAGACCAGCCTTCTGAGACCTCGACACAGACTTCGAGGCCTTCGACTTTCCTCCCCCACCCTTTGTTGAAGTCGCACTTGAACTCATCCCTCCGATCTTTATCAAATCACGAAACCCTAAATGGAATTCAATTGAGAGTTGCCTGTAATCACCAGAAGAGGGGTGCAGATCGCCGGAGTTGCTGATGTCACAAGGCTCTGTAGAAGTCTAACGAAGAAGAGGGGTACAAATCTTCAAGGCTGGAATTAGCTGGACCAAAACGACGTCATTTTGGTAAGGATCAATAAAAAAAAATTACAAAAAGCAGTGAAACGACGCCGTTCCACTTAACCGCATGCTAGGCAGTTACCTTTTTACCGTAGAGGAGCTAGACCCTTTGTATCCTCCCAAAAAGTAGGGTTTGGCTCCTCTGCTGTTGGCGGTCTAACAGTACAGCGTGCCGTTAAGAGCAACGACACCGTTTTGGCCAAAATACTCTGTCCAACAAACAAACCCGCAACGTTGTCGTTTAACTCGAAAATCTTTGAACCCACAATGACTTTGTTTGCCCACCATGTCTTTAGTGACATGCACAGTCCCTTCATCAATGTTGCCCACCATGTCTTCCTTAAGCAACATGGACAGCCCTTGATCAATGTAAATCACTCCCGACCAAACCACGAAAAACCCGTCTGCTCGAAGTTTGTAAATACCAACTAAAATTTCAAGTTCTAATTGCTCTCTCTTTTTGTATCTCTGTAACGACTGATTGGAACTTCGCCTTCCTCTCCTATTAATCTTGAAGTTATTTCAATTTTTTTTTAAAATTTAGACTCTACAGAGCTTTTTTGGGTAATCTGTTGACCCAACCATCTTCGAGGAATCAATCCCTCAAATCGAAGCCTTAACATCAATGTAAGTTTTAAAATTCAAGATTATTTTCGAGTAATCATTCCCCAAAATTTGATTATATAACCTAAATGTTCTTCATGAGTAATTATATTGGTAAATTCTGCGAGTGATTATATAACCTAAACCTTTGTCATGAGTGATTATATTGGTAAATTCAAATACCAAAACTCATCTTCCCAAAACTCATGTACTGCTGGAATTTTCGGTGTCAACTTATACTATCATTTTAAATATTTGTTTGTAGTGTCAAAGAATGACATAATCAAGCACAAGAGAAAGTAATGGATGTATATTTTCTCATAATAAGAGATGTGGATCTGGGCGACGAGCAGCTGTAGAAATTTTAGAATTGAAAGATAATCCAAGAAAACTATATTACAATTGTCCAATTGGCGAATGTGGCTTATTTGCATGGTTGAAGCTAATGAAGTACGATGAGTTGAAGCGAATGAAGCTAATGAAGTATGAAGTGTTGAAGCTAATGAATCACGAAGAGTTAAACAAGTTACAAATGAAAGCTGACTTCAACGTCTCGAGTTGCTACTATTTGAAAACATATTGCTATCATTATTTATTTTACTAGTGTCGGTTTTGATTGTAATGCTAAAATGATGTAATTTGTTTGTAACAAGTTGATTATGAATGAACTTGATGATGATGTATGGAAATAGTTGGTTTTGCTTTATGGAACTAGTTACAAAAGAATGAATGTGTATTGGTTGGTTGAAAATGATGTATTGATGTATTGGTTGAAGATGGTTTATGACATGAGTGAATGTGTATTGGTTGGTTGAACATGGTGCTTTGTTGTATTGGTTGAAGATGGTTCAGGACATGAATGAATGTGTATTGGTTGTTTGAACATTGTGCATGGTACATAACAAAAATTGTACTTATCCAAGATAACAACTACACATTGAACACCATGAATTCTACATAACAAAAATTGCACTTGTCCAATATAACAACTACACATTGAACACTATGAATCCTACATAACAAAAATTGCATTTGTCCAATATAACAACTACATATTGAATGCCCAACTTCTTTGTTTCATTGTCCACCTCAATTTTCCTCATTAGAATAATTAACGACGTTGTCCAAGAAGCATGATTCAACATCAACCCGAACATTTTGTGAAGTAATTGATGCTTGAGAAGACATGCTTGAGAATGGATTTGAGTGACTATAAGTTGTTGCCCATGAGTAAGTAAATCCATTCATTTGTGACTTTGCTCATCAGATTGAGATACCTTCAAAACAAGCATTCAAAGACGTAAGATACAATTAAGAAAAAATAAGAATCTAAAATATCATAACCATAATATTGGGGTTGTAATACCTAAGACTTATAGGAAGTTCTAGTTTTCCTCTTCGTTGGCTTCTCATGTCAAGGCTTCAATCGACCCCAATCCTTGTAATCACCATCTTTCTTCTGCAAGCCAGTTACTCATAAAATGTTAGGGTTAACATTTTTCTACTCCTTTAGAGAGAGAGAGAGAGAGATTTTCTGCTCCTTCATCACCGTCGCTATCCTCCTCACCACCAAGTGATGTATACATAAAATCCACTTGTTTGAATAACTCATCAATACCGCGATTCATCAACTGGTGTGCAGACTTAAAGTTAGAACAACGAACTGCTAAATGTACCATTCTAGGACATAGCTGTATGTAACGTGATGTTGCCATCAACTTGGGATCCTCCTCATTTAGTGTGACACTGGAATGAGGACTTGATCATTTTCTTGTATCTCGCCTCCATCTCTGTATTATGTATTGGTCAAGAATTTGCTTAATGTTCATCATGTCTAGCACTTTAAGTGCACGATCACATAATATCCCAATCATTTCGAATTTTTGACAGTTACAAAAAAGGTCTGCTCATTGACATAATGACATTAATCAACACCATATACTTTCTCTCTTTATCATATAATTCCACCACAAATTGATGACATTTATCGAACACATTACAAGGATTAGCAATAGCACATTGAAATACATTATATTCATCTTGAAATAAATCAAAAACAGAATGAGTGTAACATTGCGCTGCTTGCACCAACATAAGAGCTCTTTTCAACTTCATTCTAGGCAACTTTTGCCTACCTTGATATTCCTTCTCCGTCTCTTTATATCTCCTATTATTTAAAATCCTGCCAAAATGAGTAAAAAAGCGAAAAATATCATGATCTGCCTTTAAGTACTTTCATAATGCCGAGTTCAAGCTCTCATTGTGCTCCTCATACTGGTTATGAAAGTCCGCTTCATATACACATGTGCCCATTTATCTCTTAGTGCCCAAGTTGAATTCATCAAATTGTTATCGTGCAAATCATAGTCATCAAAAATATTTATTATGCGCTCTTCGACATCCAATTGGACTACATAATAAAATGATGGATTCTTAG